ACTATAACTGTCTGCTTCGGGAACAGCCACATACTTCTATGGGCTCCACAGACTGTATTAACCACCTCCCCCTTGGTTGCAGGGAAACTTTAGATAACTGGTTTACTGCAGACGGATACATCTATGTAGTGGATCCCTTGGGCCCGGATGGGCTGCACCCGAGAGCACTGAGGGAACTGGTGGGGGTCACCTGCTCTCCATCATCTTCGAGAGGTCATGGAGGGTGGGGGAGGTGCTGGAGGACTGGAAGAAACCAACGTTGCTGCAGTCTGCAAAAAGGGCAAGAGGGAGGAGCTGGGAAGCTACAGGCCAGTCAGCCTCACCTCCACCCCTGGAAAGGTGACGGAGTAGCTCATCCTAGAGACCATCTATAGGTATGTCAAGGAAAAGGAGGAGTAGTCAGCATGGATTCACCAAGGGAAAGCTGTGTTTGACCAACTTGATAGCCTTCTATGATGGGATGACTGGCTGGCTGGATGATGGGAAAGACATGGATGTTGTCTACCTTGACTTCAGCAAGGCTTTTGACACTGTTTCCTGTAGAGTCGTAATGGAGAAGCTCTGGAAGTGTGATTAGATGAGCGAACAGGGAGGTGGATTGAGAGCTGGCTGGATGGCAGAGCTCAGAGGGTCATGATAAATGGGGCCGAGTCTAATTGGAGGCCTTTGGCCAGTGGTGTTCTGCAGGGGTCAGTACTGGGCCCGGTGCTCTTCAACTTGTTCATCAGTGACTTGGACGAGGGCACAGAGTGCACCCTCAGCAAGTTTGCAGATGACACCAAACTGGGAGGAGTGGCCGACACTCCTGAGGGCTGCGCTGCCATTCAGAGAGACCTAGACAGGATGGAGAGTCGGGCAGAGAGGAACCTCATGAGGTTCAACAAGGACAACTGCAGACTCCTGCACCAGGGTAGAAATAACCCCAGCCACCAGGACAACAGCTCCGCAGAGAGGGATTTGGTAGTCCTGGTTGACAACAAGTTAACCATGAGGCAGCAATGTGCCCTCGTGGCCAAGAAGGCCAATGGGATCCTGGCTGCATCAGGAGGAGCGTTGCCAGCAGGTCAAGGGAGATGTGAGGAAAGACTAAAAGTGAGCTCAGCCTGTTTAGCTTAGAGAAGAGAAGACTGAGAGGAGATCTGATTAACATGTTCCAGTACCTGAGAGGTGAATGTAGGGAGGATGGGGCCATACTCTTCTCGATGGTGGTCAGAGACAGGACAAGGGGTAATGGGGGTAAGTTGAAACAAAGGAAGTTCCACCTCCATGTGAGGAAGAACTACTTTCCTGTGAGGGTGACAGAGCCCTGGAACAGGCTGCCCAGAGAGGTCGTGGAGTCTCCTTCTCTGGAGATCTTCAAAACCCGCCTGGATGCCACCCTGTGCCACGTGCTCCAGGTGTCCCTGCTGGAGCAGGGGGGTTGGACTAGATGATCTCTAGAGGTCCTTTCCAACCTCAACCAGTCTGTGATTCTGTGATTTTGTGATTCTGAGAATATTGACCTTGCTGTAATGTCTTTCCACCCTAAATGTTGTTTTCCCTCTCCCATTCGTTGTCACCAGGTGCCACGCTGTAAACCTCAATGGACGATACTACAAAGCAGGAAGCTACAGCGGCTCCCACGATGACGGCGTTATTTGGTCTACCTGGCGAGGGATGTGGTACTCCCTAAAATACACGGCCATGAAAATCAGGGCTCCGTTCTTTGTTGACAGGGAGAGTGGGGATGGTGAGAACAGTCAGGATAGCTGAAATCTGCTGCTTTTGAAGAGAAGTGTAGCTACAAAGAACTGCAGAAGCCAATAGCCAGTCTGCCAATCGCAAACCTGCACTGGGATAACTGGAGCTGCATTTGTTTCTACCAGCTGAGGCCAAACTCATGAGCTGCTTGAGCACCAATAATCTAATGGGAACTATGAGGATCTCAGTCATGGAATAACCGTGATTTTCTTCTTCCATAATTCTCAGGCTTTCATTGGAGAGTGTTTATATGGAGTTTTCTGGACCTTGCGTGATCAAGCATGTTCTTTTTGCTATCTGTACTCTTCAAGGGTTACATTTTTCTCACTTCGTTTTTAATGGTCATTATCTGAGTTATGAGAGCATAAAAACAGAACCAAAAGGATGATGAGGAATTGGCCTTCCCTGGCGTCCCTTCATGAGGGTTTTACTTATGTCAGTAGCAGGTTTTTAAGCAGCTCTCCGTTGTCCTCTTTCCCACCCTCTGGCCTCAGAACAACCCTGGAGTGTGTGACTGGATTCCTTCCAGATGAGACTAAAGCAGACGATGCAGTGCAGCTGCTGAGGAGCGTCCGACTTGTTTTGAAGTAATCCCCCATGCCAGAGGCAGCGTGGACACCAGCTTTCATCGTTATCAGCTTCACGCCACACATCTACTGCTACAGCACACCGGTACTTGCTCATGCACACGCAGCTGATGCTGCCAACCAGACATAGATTACGCGGATTTTACTAAATTTAAGATGAGCACAGACACTTTCAGGAGTTCACAGAATGCTGTCATGATTCAGCTGTAGTTTCTTCTGCAACCTAACAGGCAACTTGGAGTTACTAAAGGGAGAAGAGAAGATGGAAAATGACTGAAAGAGGAGGCACACTAATTTCCCTGTCTCATTTAAGTGAAATGAAAAAGTAACTCAAATGACTGAAAGAAATGAAGTACTGAAAACTTTTCTAAGAAGTTGTTAGTAACAGCTAAAAATTAGCAATAATATGACCCTGACACAAATCATTTTAACTTTCATGCTGTCGAATGAGCCTATTTTTTTCTGAGTTAAAATAATGATCTTCTAAACTTTTAAAAGAACTGAGTTCTTTTCCATTTATTTGCTTTTAGATCAATATGTATTCTATTTTGTATTATACATCCATGAAGTGTGAAATAAAGCCCTCTGAGTAGGACTTAGCACTTTGTATCTGTTTCTAAACGGTAGGACACTGAGCAGAGATTTGGGTGAAAAAGTCCTGCAAAAGCTGGTAGTACAAGAGATTTCATTCCTTTGTTGTTCCCTCTGGTGCTTCTGCACGTGCTGTCCTAGTTAGTTAGACAGTCGGTAAGGAAAGTTTAATTTCCACGGCTCAAGCATGTCCTAGAGACAGTGTTGAGACGTGGATATTCAGTGTGAAACTTGGTAGTTTTGGTTCCTCTGCTTTTTGGTCGCATTTTTCCTAGACTTCCCAATGCCTGCAAAGTGAGGCCCAGTGCCAGCGCTGCCATGCGTGGTGCTCCTTAAGCCTGTACCCTGGCCAGGCTGTGGCTCGTCCTCTTTCCAAGCCCTGGCATTGACCCGCGTGGGCCTAGAGCAACATCTACGTCTCTGCAGTGAGGCTGCCCTTGTGAAGAAGGAGGCCTCGCTCATTCACTGCAATCTTAGACTTAGGCTGCACCTAGGTCCCCCTGATGCATTACAGCAGCTGGTCTCAATGTGGGCAGACACTGAGAAGGGGTCGCAGAAAGGGGCATCTGGCTTAGAAAAGGCTTCCCCTCCCTTGCTGCAAGTGCAGCACAAGGCAGGGCTCCCCTGAAGGTACAAGGTGTTGCAAAACTTTTTTTTTTTTTTTTGTTAATAGAAAGAATCACAGAATCATAGAATGCTTAAGGTTGGAAGGAACCTCTAGAGATCATCTAGTCCAACCCCCCTGCACA